ATGTATAAAATAGTGAATAGAATTTACTTCACAATTCCATGGTAAATTCACAAATAAATATTCTTTCTCTGTTTGAAAACCCACAAATAGATGCTTTTTACTGTAATTTATTTTCTGATTGGAGCTTATGATAAATAATTGTGACATATTGTTTGTTCAATGAAAAATGTTAAAGAATTTGTCGTAGTATACTTTTTTTTAATTAAGTCATTGAGTCGTTATCCACAAATATTATACAACAACTTTTTGTTAACATTTATATACAAGTGTTATTTATTATTTTATTTTTACTTGCTTATCATAATATTTTTTTTCATCTCACAACACACAAAATGAAACTGTTGTATTTCTTTAACATCACAACAATTATGAATATATAATAATGACTAATTAAATTATAATTTGTTGATGATTTTATAAAAAGATACATAAAAATTACTGTTAACTTTTACACTTTTATTTAGAAATATCATACAATTTGAATAAAACATTAAAACTTTTAAACGTGTAACTATGAAGTCGCAACTCCTAAAATGCCCAGTCTAAAATTTTTAAAAAGATGGTAAAACATAATTTCTCAAAATTGTTTTTTTTTTGAATGTTTTTAAAAAAAGTTTTGGCTTTTTATTGTTATTGTAACATGAATAACAAAAATTATATTTAGTAAATGAAATTAAATATGAAATTTATCTAATAAAGAAAACTCAAATATATTTTTAAATACATCAAAACTAATGTTGAATTATAATTTCCATAAAAATGGAAATGAACAAAAATAGAATTTTGTTCATTTTTTTCAAATAATTAAAGTCAAAAAATGAGCAATAAAAAAATAGGAAAAGAATGAATAACGAATAATTTACACATTGTATTTAAACTGATATAAATGGTATCGATTTGTAGCTTTGTGAAGACAAAGCCCCCAAGTCACTTTTCTGATTGTATTTAGACCAACTCAAATAGCTGTAGACTGTATACAACTACATGAAGACATAACCTTAAGTTCCTCTTGTGCTCCAGACCCTGCTCAAATTTTATACACCGTTTTCGACTCGTGTATGTTTTATCTATTATTTCAATTGTCGAGTTTAAATAGTTCTTGATGTCCAGAACTAAATATTTAAGCATTTTTATTATAAAATATAACAATTTTTGAAAGGAAAAATCAAGATAATACGTTAGAAAAAACCCGTGGAATGAAAAGAAGTATTTGGAACACAAAACCACAAGGAAAATTTTTGCTTTTAACAAAATGTCTAATGCCACGTAAATACATGGCATTATCGTTCTTGACTGATATTATTAGTAGTTTTTTAAATTAAGTATATACTATTGATTATTTTAAAACATAATTGATTAATTGAAATATATGTTATCATATAATAATAAAAATATTAAACAATAAAAACAATAATAATAAAATAAATGTTTAATTTAACTTAACTCTCGAACGTACCAATAGTGCTTTTTTCACATTTTTCTGATATTTTGTCCCAAAATTTATTTAAATATTTTAGGATAATCATTAGGTATATATCCCGAAAATACCAATAAAATTTATTAATAAAATATCAATAATTTATTAATTAAATCTTTTACCAAATACACATTTTGTAAATTATTTTTTGAAAAAAAAAACAAAAAAGCAAAACAGAACAAAAAATACAACAGAAAAAGTATCAAAGACAACAATAAAACAAAAACAGTAATAAATACTAAAATTGTTCATAAGCAAAACAAAATTTACATGTTCGTTTGACAAATAACAAAAACATGGTGATTAAAAAAAAGTTAAACTTAATTGTTCATTGAATTAATGCAAATCAATGAACGACAATAAGTAATGACATATTGTTGTTGTACATTCTTTTTTATGCGACACAAAATTATCTTAATCGTTATAAACGATCAAACCAACATAACATAGTTATAATTTTTTTTATAAATAATAAAAATATAAAAATAGAAAAAGTTAATTGTAAAGAACATCGTTTTTGATGTATACAAATAAATAGTTTATCAGTTCAATGATTCAACAAATTGAAAAGAATATAAAGAATCGACTGTTTATTATTATCAATAATGGCCGAGACAATAATTAATTTGGGTTGTATACTAGACAGAGGTTATATATTATTTGTTACAAAACATGATTTCAATAATGCTTACTAATATAAAAAAATCATATACGTTTGTTGGTGTAATTGTTTACAATATAGTCACATTTCCATTTTATTTTAACAACTCACAACATGAAGCAACAAGAATAAGTTATTACTGTCATCAACATTTCCAGAATTATCAATAAATTTTTTTGATTTAAATAAAACGAGTACATGAAATATAATAAAATTTTAATTTTTGGTGTTGACAGAACATTTGATATTAATAATAATGTATTAAAACATAGTCCGGCAAATAGAATTTCATTTTATTTTTTACATAGAAAGTCCATAACTTGCGGCAAATTAAGCGAAAAAAATACCAATTTTTTGTTTTTTGTTTTGTTAGTTACTCAAAATGTAATTCAGAAAAATCTTTAAAACCTATTTTGGGTTTTTATTAAAACATTTGTGTTATTTTTAACATTATTTAAAAAAACCAATATTTTATTATAAATTTACAATTAAAAATTACTATAAATTAACATGAAAAAACAAAACTCATATGAGATTATAAACGTCCGTTATAAACAAAATGAATTTTATTATCTGTTAAAATTTATAGTAAATTTTAAAATAATACTTTTATATAATATTATAGTTATTGAAAATGTATAAATATAATAATAATAATAATAAATAATATTGATTTATATCAAAATAGATATAAACGTCCGTTATAAACATAATAAATTTTGTTTGTTTGTTTGTTTGTTTGTTTGTTTGTTTGTTTGTTTGTTTGTTTGTTTGTTTAATTTTAATATTATTATAAATACTAATATATATATATATACTAATAATAAAATAATAAAATAATAAAATAATAAAATAATAAAATAATAACAATAATATTATTGTTTTATTGTTATTATTAAAATAATAACAATAAAAATAACAAACATAAAATAATAACTAAATAACAATAATAACAATAAAAAATAATAAATAAATAATAAATAATAAATAAATACAATAAATACAATAATAACAACAATAACAACAATAACAACAATAACAACAATAAAAATTGAAAATAAATTAAAAAAATAAGAACAATAAAACAAAAAAGATGAATGTACGTTTTAGTAATAACAAATGGTTTTGGAACACATGGACATGGGATTTATTAAAGCAGAAGGGGAGAC